TCCTTTCCTTTCCTTTCCTTTCCTTTCCTTTCCTTTCCTTTCCTTATTCCCTACTCCCAGAGGAGATGGGGCTCCAGGAATTTTTCCATTTTTGGCTCCCTGACCATTTCTTTAGTGACTTCCCATCCTGGGATTATTCGAGGAAAGCAAATGCCTTGTACAGCTGATTTAAGAGGAACTTAAACAAACAGAGATCCTTACAAAAAAACAGGAATATACCACAAACCCTTTTAGTTTTCTAGAACAGGCCTTGAATTATCCATTATCATTCCTGTTTTTCCAGTGTTTTCAGCATTGATGGAGTCCTGGGGATATATGATTTTATGTCTGAGCTGGTGTGTGAGGGGGCACAGCAAGAAATAAACCCTTCTCTAAATTTTCAGTGGCTTTGTTTGTGGCAATAAGGCAGCACCTTAACAAACACTTCTTGACAAGGTGCCTGGAGGGAAAGTGGACATCAGCCATTTCCCAAAAATTAATGACACAGGTGTGCACTGAGGAAGAAGATGTTTGGCTGCATCCACAGACAGGTTGGAAGAAAAACCCCTAAGGTACAGGGAAATTAGGAGAGGTGGTAAAAGAGAAAAATATAAAATAGCAAGGTTGGGATGGGAAAGGAAAGGAGAGAGAAGAGCAAGAAGATGTTGAAGTGTGTGGGGGATTGGGAGCTGAAATCTGTGCTTTAGGAAATCTGAGCTTTGCCAGATTGACAGTGGGGAAAACTGAACCCCAGGATAATTCCAAAGCCAGGTGGACAGGGCTTGGGTTAACCTGGGCTAGTGGGAGGTGTCCCTGCCCATGGCATGGGGCTGGAATGAGATGGGCTTTAATTTAAGGCACCTCCCAACCCCTGTGATCCTAAGAAAGCCACAGAAAATCTAAGACAAAGAGAAGTCCCTTATCTTATGGGTCAGGCACAGCAGAAAGGGCATCAAACACAGCTGCTGGCCTGGTCCTGGAATGTGCTTTTTCCCAGGAATCTCAGGTTGTGCCTGGGGCTGTTGTGCCCTCTAGTGCCATGCAAAACAAGGGAAGGTTCATGGCCTCCACCTGCCTAAAATCCAGTTTCCAGTTCCTTCATCCAGGATGCAAGGCTGGTCATGGCAGTGCCCAGTGCTTTCCAAGGCTGAGCTTGTTTTGGTCATGGCAGCCAAGAAAGGCTTTCTCAGGTGGGTTTGGAGGTCATGCCCAGGCTCCACCTGCCCTAACCATGGGAGGTTTGGATCTTGGAGACCTTGGAGCCTAAACTGGGAGCAAACCTTGGAGCAGGTGAGGCATCTGCCTCCCATGTACCTGTGCAAGGATCTGCACAAAAGGTGACGTGCTGGACTTCCCACCTCATCCCTCCTCTAAAACTTTGCTCTGTGGGTTTTCTCTGGTTTTGAGACACCAATCCTGACCTTTTCCAACATCTAGCAGTGCTCATGCTTATCCTACCCCCACCTTCATTGTAATTTCCCATAAAGCAAGGAATTCCTTGAGGAATACGACCCTGCTTCGTGAAAGACAGCACAGTGATGGTCAGCACGGATGTGAGAGAGAAACAGAGCAAAAAGGAACGAGCAAGGAGTGATTCAGGAGCATGGATTGGCTGCTCACACCCCCAGTGAAGCTTCAGGATGAAGCACAAGAGGATGGGACCGTGGATTCCTACCTGGATCAAATTATATCCCGTTCGCTGAATTAACGCACGGAGGGCGGCTTCTTTCTGTGTGCCGGTCAATCCATCCCCGGATTTGTGATTTGATTCCATTTGGGAGTGATTATCAGCAAAAAATCACGTTAATTAGGGGTGCTCACTGCAATCAAATTTGAGATAAATTAAATCAATTAATATGGCTGGGAGGAGAAAGTCCACCCCTCCTGAGAAAGTTTACAGGGTCGCTCTTCATAAATCAGTTATTTTGGAGACAAAACCAAAACAGAACAGCAGAGACCATGGAAAAAGCAGAAATGTCCCCCTTGCTGAATGGAAATAAATAGCATTTAAACCCACAGCCAGATCCTGGGGAGATGCAGAGAGAATTTGCAGCTTTTTGGTGGTTTCTCAGGAGGAAAAAATATGCAAATGCCTAATCCTGCACTGAGTACACAGCAATGAGTCCTTCAGGCCTCGCATGGTGCTTATACTGCGAAGGCAACCTTGTACCAGCCATATCCAGCACTCCATGAGAAACAGGACCTAGCCCCAGATTCCACCTATTCTTATTTTTGAAAATAAAGAACCCAGGAGAACTTCGGATCTTAGCTCAGCTCAGGGCTGGAGCAAACTTGGGTTCAGGCATTTTAATTCAGAGCGGCAGTTTTAGGTCATGGCTGATTCAAGATTTTTTGGTTTGGGTTGGGTTTGGGCTGAAAACGTCATAAAGCTGAAATCTGAATCTGGCTTGGGCTACACCCTGGGAAAGGGACATTTACAACATGGATTCACTACTGGTGATTCCCTGATTTTCCTGAATGCTGAGCTTTGAGCTTGTCCAAAACCTTTTTATGTGCTCCAGGCATAAAAGCAGGGTCTGTAGGTGCAAGGCTGAGTTTGAAGCCTCAGGCTGACACTGAGCAGCAGCCAGAACAAACCCAGTGCCCTCCTCAGGTCCTTGTAGCCAGAACTGGGGCCAGTGACACCAATAACTCCATGCAGGAAAGTTCTTGTGTCTAATTTGTGTCATCCTGTATGGCTGTTATTGCCTGAAATTGCATTTTATCCTAGAAAGATGGAGGCAAAGAAAGGTGGTGCCTGCCAGGCTTGCCTGGAGAGCAAACAGGGCCAAAAGGGGCTGGGAGGGGTGGAATGGGGATGAGAGGGATGAGGCACCCTGGTGGGGATGCTGGAAATCCAGAGCAGCAGGAAGGTGGAAGGAAGGTGGATTGCTGTCCTTACACCCTGAGCTACTGCCAGATTTTCAGGGGAGGAGACCCTAAACAATCCCCCTGCCAGATTTTCAGGACAACACCCTCAACAATCCCCCTGCCACTGACAGATTTTCAGGAGGAGATCCTAAACAATCCCCCTACCAGATTTTCAGGAAGAGACCCTAAATCCCCCTGCCACTCCCAGATCTTTGGGAAGAGACCCTAAACAATCCCTCTGCCACTGTCACATTTTCAGGAGGAGACCCTAAATCCCCCTGCAGTGCCTTGGTGCACATAAGGTGAGCACTGCATATAAAGAAATGTAAGTAAAGAATTGCAATCTATCCTGCTACAGCTGATTTTCTGAGCATGTCATGATGCTTCAGAAATGACAGAAAAAGCCTTTTCCACCCAGCTTTTAACAACAACCTCTTTTTTTATCAGCCGTTTCTGCAATTTCCTGAGGGAGGAGCCAATGTTTGGGGCAGCCCACTTTGGTTTTGGCCATTATCTGCCGTGTGCTCCTATGCCTTTGTGCCCTGGAAGTCTCCAACAGCTGCTTTCAATTGAAAATGGATTATTCCCAGCACCAAAAATGGGGCAGAAGGCCAGGAATTTGGAGGATCTCAGTCTTGTGTCACTTGAGCTCTACCGCACTGAGATCCAGAGGTTGTGGCTCCAACACTTGCAAACAGAGGCACCTCTGTAATGCCAGATTTTGGAGCTATTTAATGCAGAGGTTGGTCAGGCTCTTCTGATTTTATTTTATTTTAGTTTAGTTTACTTTACTTTACTTTACTTTATTTATTTTTTTCCTGTGCTCCCAGGTTCTCCAGAGTTTTGATTACTACCAACATGCAGAGGCTGGGACATGGATTACCCAGCGCAACAGCTCTCTCTTGTCTCTAATTCCCAAATGAGTGTTTTCTGCAGCAGCTGGAGCCCCGTTGCTGGTTTGTTTTGCCCTTCTGAGGGCAGCAGCAGAGCCCTGCTGATGTCTGTGGTGTCTGTGCCTGCTGCCTCCTCGGGAGCTGGCGTTCAGCAGGCACGGGGTAGGATTAGCACACTGCTGTGCAAAAACCACTTGGAGCCTTTCCCAGCCTGCTGCAGAAAGAGAAAGTGAGCATTCAAAAAAAAAAAAAAAACCAAAAAAAAAAACCCATTTAAAATCCAGATTGGTTTTACACCCTCTCCTGCCTGGGCAGAGACACCCCATATCCACCCCATAGGGGAAAGCTCTGTCACACTGCAAATCTGGCCCCTTGTATCCTGCTTTTGGAGCATCCTGGCTTCATCAGGGAATTGAGGGATCAAATTGCAGCTCCCCATGGGTCTCTCTCAGCCCTGAGAGCCGGACTGGAGCGCTGCCAGGCTGGATGCCTGCAGGGCTGCTGCTCTGGATGCATGTGGATCCTTTAAGGGCAGCATCCTCTCCTGCAGGGAGGAGGGATTTCCAGGAAGGTCTCTGTCCCCCCGGGAATGATTTCACGCTGAGCAGTGAGCACCGGCCTCAGGGCTGCCGGATGGATGGGAACAGAGCATCTCCCTGGCTGATGCCTTTCCAGCAGCAGCAGCAGCAGCAATATCCCTCTCTGCCTTCTGCCTTATTAGATAAGACAGCAGGGCTCTTCTGGGCTCTTCTCGTAAGGCATCCTGCAAAGATTTCAGCTGTAGACCAGCACGTCTAGACACTGGTGTACTCCAGGACATGCTGAAGCAATCCACTTGGAATCAGGGAGCAGGAGCATTCAAGGTTGCAATGAAGTATTAACCACAGCCTGCTGCAAAACCCGGGCTCTGGGGGGGTTCCTAACAAAAATCTGGCTTTAATCTGTGCCTGGTGCTTCCACACATTCCTGCCTTTGGAGAAAGCCCCAAGGAAACAACCCTGCCCCATGTAAGCGGGGCAGGATGCCCATCCTCAGGGGTGCCCTGACTTACCCGGAGCTGTGGAACTGGAATTGGGGTCCAGCTGGAGAGCCCCACCCCAGCGTAGCATCAGCCCCTTCAAGCCCCCACTCCTGATTCCAAAGGAATCTCCAAGCCCCCACTCCTGATTCCAAAGGAATCTGCAAGCCCCTACCCCTGATTCCAAAGAATCTGCAAGCCCCCACTCCTGATTCCTTTGGGATCTCCAAGCCCTCACTCCTGATTCCAAAGGATTTTGGAAGCGCCCACTCCTGATTCCAAAGGAATCTGCAAGCCTCTATTCCTGATTCTAAAGGAATCTGCAAGCCCCCACCCCTGATTCCAAAGGATTTTGCAAGCCCCCACTCCTGACACCTTTGGGATCTGCAAGCCCCACTCCTGATCCCAAAGGATTTGCAAGCCCCCATCCCTGATTCCTTTGGGATCTGCAAGCTCCCACTCCTGATTCCAAAGGAATCTGCAAGCCCCCATCTCTGATTCCAAAGGAATCTGCAAGCCTCCACTCCTGATTCCAAAGGAATCTGCAAGTTCCCACTCCTGATCCCAAAGGAATCTCCAAGCTCCCACTCCTGATTCCAAAGGAATCTCCAAGCCCCCAGTCCTGATTATTTTGGGATCTGCAAGCCCCTACCCCTGATTCCTTTGGGATCTGCAAGCTCCCACTCCTGATTCCAAAGGATTTGCAAGCCCCCACTCCTGATTCCTTTGGGATCTGCAAGCTCCCACTCCTGATCCCAAAGGAATCTGCAAGTCCCCATTCCTGATTCCAAAGAATCTGCGAGCCCCCACTCCTGATTCCAAAGGAATCTGCAAGCCCCACTCCTGATTCCTTTGGGATCTGCAGGCCCCAATCCTGATTCCAAAGGATTTTGGAAGCCCCCACTCCTGATTCCTCTGGAATCTGCAAGGCCCCACCCCTGATTCCTTTGGGATCTGCAAGTTCCCACTCCTGAATCCAAAGGAGGCCAAGCCTGGACTGCACACTCAGGGCTGGACACAGTGTGGACACCCTGAGTATGGTTTGGTGACCCCACTCTGAGCAGCCAATTCACACCTACTAATTACGAGCCTGATGTCATTCACAGGTAATTGATAAGCCAAAGAGCTTTCAGACATCAGTGGTGTTTCTCTGGGATAGGAACAGCAAACCCCTCTGTTCTCTGAGGTATAAATCCCAACCCAACAAATCCCAAGGCCAGGAAAGCAGGCTTTCCAACCCTGCAGTTTTCCAAGCACTTCTTCTCTCCCTCTTTCCTGCCTCCCTTGAGTTAAACACCTAAACTCACTTTTGGACAGGGCATTTTTCCACCTCTGCCACCCAAGGATCCATCTCATGGAACCACAGAATCATTTAAGTTGGAAAAGCCCCCTCAGACCATCGAGTCCAACCATTAACCCACCACCAAACCACATCCCCAGGTGCCACATCCATGTGTCCATCAGTGCATCCAGACAATTTCTAGGATACAAATCACAAAGGGATGTTTTATTTCTGAAACTTGTGGAGTTCCAGCCCTTTCTCCTCATTGCAGGCACCAGCCTCAGTCCTTGCAGCAGTGCCAGTGTGCTGGGATAATTTTGTTTTTACTTTAAGGGAGGAGAATTCCTGTCATCCAAAGGAAACACGATTACTTTCTCTCCTTCTTTGTTCCCTGAGCCAGGAATCAATTAGCAAATCCACCCTCACAGGGGAAAACCCCCCTTCTGTGGCTGCTGATGGAAAATGTGAATGACTGCAGCAAATGCAGGCAGTGCTTTCAGCTCTACTTTAAAAAAGAATCAACCCAGCCACACTTAATAGAAATAATAGTTCTGGAATTCAACCAATTTCGGGGATTTGCCCTTAAAATGGATTATCATTAACAAGGGCCACCATGAGAAAAGGAAAAGGAAATAAAAGGAGAAGGGGAAGTAGCATTTTGTTCAGAAGTTTAAATTGAAATTAACACCTTTGGAAGTGCAAACTCTCCA